AACCCACCCTGGGTTCTCCTGAAGAACCCAGGTGGGTTCTCGGAGAACCCGATCTGGGTTCTCCAGAGTGTGAGAGAGAGAGAAAAAAAAAAAAAAAGAAGAAAGAAAGAGGTGAGGGAAAGAAGAAGAATGATCGGCAAAACAGAGGGATGAAGGGAGAGGAAGAAGGTGGCGGTGATGGTGAGGATGGGCGTTTGGGCGTTAACGACAAAGTAACGGAGATGGGTGTGTGTAATGGAGGGTGTAACGGAGGAGGGTAAACGTAGCTTTATCCTTTCTTATAATATACTTATAACCATAGAAATATTACATGAAGTTATTATTATTATTATTATTATTTGCACAGCAAAATGAATTTTATTAAATGGAGTATAATGGGTATTCCTGCCGTTGATACAAAAAGAAACTATCACTAAGCATCCACTGACTATAGCTTTCTAAACCCACAATAACACAATTCAACAAATCAAAACAGCTAAAGTCATATAGCTGCTTAGTGAAGCCTTGATGAACCAACAGTAGGATTTTACAATAAAAAATGCCAAGCAATTTGTGTATACCCACCTTTGCCCATGTGTATGAGCAATCCTTTGAACCAGGGCCCCACCATCTCTTACTCATGATTTTGAGGCAGCATTTGTTTCCTTTTTGTTGACTTCATGCATAGTCTTGGCTGTCGAGACCATTCATAGAAATTAAAGTAGCATTTATCCAACTTCCCTTTAATCCAATGGAATGATCTCAACTGTACTAGTTCAAACAATTTTTCACCATCCATTTGACCATCCTTAAAGATTTTTTCATTTCGTGCTAGCCAAATTGACCAAATGCATGCAATCCAAACAGTCTTCCATCCAGTGCTTGATCTGCTAGTTCTATCCAAATTGCACAATAGATTTAAGGTTTGGTTACAACTCCGTGGTATAACTGAAGCCAACTCCCACCATGCTAAACACTTCATCCACATCTCATATATTATGTCACAATGTAAGAATAAATGACTAGAGCTTTCCACATTCAATCCACAAATCTCGCAAGTACACTGCCCTATGTTTTCCAAAATCCCTCTTTTCCATAGGTTTAGTCTAGTTGGAATCCTGTCGAGATATAATTGCCAAAGGAAAGCTTTAGTTTACATGGCGCATTGGAGTTCCACAATAACTTGAAGAAACTGTCCTCCATTGGTGTTGTTGTATCTAAAGCCAAGTACCCTGACTTCACTGAGTATTTGCCTTCACTGCTGCGGCTCCACACCCAAGTGTCTGTCTTTCCTTGTACAACTGAAACGGACAACAATGTTGACTCTAGTTCTTGCTTTTGTTCTAACTCCCACGACAGCAAATTGCGTCTCCAATTGAATCTCCAAGACCAAGAGTCTTCCATCCACGTGCCCATTTGACAAACTCTAGCTTCTTTGCCTGTTGATAACATAAAAAGTCTAGGATATTTGTCAGCAAGAGATTCTTGTCCCAGCCATTTATCAGTCCAGAATTGCACTTGATTCCCCTTGTCTAATTCACATCTAATCCCATCTTCTAGCCAACCAGTTCTATCTATTTCTAATCCATTCAATCTACATACATCCCTCCACCAAATTGAGCCAAATCCCTTCCCCTCCTTCATCCAATTAATCCAGTCTCCACCAGCATTGCCGTACTTCTCCCTAATGACCCTCTTCCACAAACTATCCCCCCCATTTGCTAGTTTATCCCACCACTTTCCCAACAATGACATATTAAATTTTTTGAGATTTTTTATGCCTATATCCCCTCTAGATTTACTAGTGCATGAAGTTGTTATTAGTTCATCATATTTACATGACCACATTTATATTACATCCATAAGTTATATCTACATCATTTGGAGCTTCATTACCTTTTTATTTATTAAATAGCTTCATCACTTTGGTTTTAACACTTTACAAGATTTTAAATTGGGTATCAAATATATTTTTAAGACAAGTGAGTATAAAAAAATTGATTTTACACTTTAATTATATGAGTTTTATATATAAACAAAGTGTTGTGTATTTCAAATTGTATTAAATTGCATAACGCTAACCATTGAATAGAGGTTAAACCCCAAAATCAATGGTTTCTATTTTACAATATGTTGTAATTCAAATTATAAAATAAAAGTTCCCTTTATTTATTTTAGTTGCTATTTTACACTTGATTTTATTAATATTTAAACAAGTTGAATACTGAAATATGATTTTATTAAAAGTTATATAATTTTTATTATTTGCGTACAAAAGGATTGAAATGCAAATCTTGAGATTTAAGTGCATCTCTTGCAAAATTTTAGGAACTAAATTGTAATAAAAAGTTGAAATTAGAGACCAAATTGTATAAATCTAAAGTCTAAGGATCAAAGTATAAAAAAATTCAAAGTTGGGAGACAAGCTTTGTTGTTTACCATTAAACTTTGGAGACTTTTAACGGGAGCATTGACGGCGTTATGACGAAGAATGATGCTTGGCCCTTTCTCAAGAGTTCAGTGATGTTTATCACTCGTTTTAAAGTAGAAGAATAAAAATGGCTTATTTTGTAAAGTTGAGGGATTTTTAGTAATATTAAGCCTTTTAAATTTTTAATTTTTTAGAGTTAGTTTTGTATTTTTAAATATTATTGTTATAATAAAAAGGATTAAGTTAGTCGTACTATTTATTTAAAATTTTTTTGGAAAGAGTTTTGTTTTTTTTTTTTTCATTGTAAAACTCATTTTACTCACTTTCAGCTAATTTTTTTTATGATTAATAACTTACCAAACTTAACACCATTAACATAATTTTAATAAAATTTTATTACAAAATTTATGAACTTTTTATGTAGTAACTTCTCAATTATTTTTTAGTAATAAATTGGAGTACCGCTTGCTTGCATTTTCATTCCTCAGCTACCATGGAGGTCAAGTCTGCCAACATATTTCCTGGGTCAAATTGTTAAGCCCCCTAACTTTTTCTGAAGTTGCAGGTAAACTCCTAAACAACAAATAAGCGGACAACCCCCTTAATCCCGCAATAAAAGCAAATTAATCCTTAATTAACAATAGCCCTTAGTTGCCGTTGAATCCATCCGATGTGTATTCGATGAAACTATTGCCGATAATGTCAATGGAGAAAATAGTTAATTATTATCTTCTCCCCCGATTATGGTACAAAGTTTTTAATTGATTTAAGATTTGACTCTTTAATTTTTGTTATTTACTTTTAAAAAAAGTTTAACTAGAAATCTAAATCATGTAAAATTCACTTGTAGAGTTGTGTTCAAGATCCACTCTCCCCTTCCCCGTTTTCCCAACACCTTTGTTATAACAAATTGTATATATATATGTTGGCAAAAAAAGGTTTAATGAAATGAAAACTTGGGTTATATTTTTATGTTTGGACTGATGACTCGTCTGTTTCTTACAAGTATAGGGTATTTGTTTATTTCTTAATAAGAATCTTAGTATTTATTTAATTAATAATTTCAATTAGTAAGTATTAAATTACATATTGTTTTCTTTTCTATTCTTCACTCTTTTTGTCTTCAAATATCAATATTTTTTTAATTATATTTAATAGACAATTTAGATTAAAAAAATAAATATATATTATGAGATGGAGAAATGAAAGTAATTAAATCAATTGATTTATTTTTTAATTATTATCAAATTGAGATATTGTTTAAATTAGTTGATCTACTATTTAAGTATTTCATCTCAAAATGTAATTTTTTTTTGTTTAGTTTCTTAATAACATATCAATGAAAAATACAGTTAAAATTGATTTTTTTTTTTTGCAAAGAAAATAACTAGTGTCATAAAATATACTTAAAATACACAAATATTTTTTAAAAAAATTGGCTTTGCCCGTAAGTATGAGATAGATAGCCTCGTTGTATTGATGAAAATTAATAGAAATAAAGAAATCATGAACTGCAATATGCAAAAACTAAATGGCAGCAGAGATTCTATAGTGACAACAGTTGTGGGTTGGGATTCACTAATTTGTAATTTTGTTAAAATAGTTAAAGGTTTGAAAATTAATTTTACTTTAATTCTGACTCATTTAGAGATTAGATTGTAATTATTTATTTTCCTTCCGCTACGTACCACGTCATGTTCAATATGTCTTTCGTTTCTTTCAGCTGACACTGTAAAATGACTTTGATGGAATCTAATACTAATAGTTAGCCTTATGTCTAATTCGCATGAATCAGGGGGTTCAAGGGCTTATATGAATGATTTTTTGTTTAGGGGCTGATATATTAAAATAGAGTAAGTTAGGAACTTAACAATGGATTTGCCCAAAAAAAAAAAGTGATCTCAATGAAGCCAAAAAAATAAATAAATAAATGGACTAAGATACCATTTCGGCGATGACGTAACATATGAAAAAGGGTAGATTCTCTCCAAATTTTTTTGTCAATATAAGACAAAAAAATTAGGTTTGTATATAGGGCACTCCCAAAATTGAATGTCGGTCAGAGAAGACTGTTTCTCTGTGATGTGGAATATACTTATATCGTTATATATTTTACCGAATCGGACCCCCTTACCAACCCATTTTTTAATATCATAAAAATTAAACCTATTAAAATTGTAAATGAATCATCCCATTATTATCAGATGAGTGATACATTAAAACACTAGTGCTCTGTTTGGCAACTTGAATTTGACACTGTGTATTTGAATTTGGAGTGCTCAAATTCAATTTCACTATTTGTTTTTACCTAAATAAAATGTAATTGAATTTAGATGAAATACATGTATTTTAACCGAGTAATTCTCATGACTAAATTCCGTGCATTTCAATTTCACCCTAAAACCCTCGAATTTCAATTTTGAATTGAATTTGGTCTGCACTCTCTTCTCACCGACGGCGATGAGCCTTCACCGTCCACCCTGACTCTGCCGCTGCTCTCGTTGCTCTCGCTGCTCTCGCTGCTCTCGCTGCTCTCGCTGCTCTCGCTGCTCTCACTGCTCTCGCTGCTCTCGCTGCTCTCTCACCTTCGCGTCGTCGGCCACTCAAGCGCATCTACCAGACATTTCATCATCTCTCTCGATAGATCAGCGCCTCAGGTAATTCCTCTACCTTCCTCAAATTTTTATTGATTTGCATATGACTACCTCCTAGATCAGCTCTATTTAATTCTGTATTTGGGTCAGAATCCCTTGATTCGTTTCTTACCAAAGAATCTCGTCCGCCTTGACTACTTCCTGCCGTGATTGGTTTTGTTTTTTTGGTTTCAGTTTTAAGGTTTGCTAGTTTGTTTGAGTTGATTCTGAAGCTTAATTTTGCTGCTTTGGTTTTCTAGGGTTTGGTTGAGCTTTAATTTGAATTGGGTTTGTGTGAAATGTTGGTTGAGCTTTAATTTGAATTGGGTTTGTGTGAATTGGGTTTCATGTCTCTTTTTCACCAT